GAGGTACTGAACAGGTCTGGATCATTTGGCATGAAGTAACAGCTTCCCTGGCCTCTGGCTGGTTTCAGCTAATTTTAAATTGAGGCTTGAAATACTGAGGAAATTTCAAGGGATGAGGAGGAGGCAGATATTTTGTTGTTTGGCTTGGCAAATGTAAATAAGATGAGTAGAAGAACTGTAATTTCTTAGCTTGTAGTTSCCTCTCTGCAGTGCACAATAAAACAGACTGATAGATCATTAACTGATTTTTCGCATCAGGGACTCATATTTTTGTCATAAAATGTCATTTCTAGTCAAATTTCAGGTTTGATTCACAAATCTGGTGACATTGATGTGGCGCCTTCCTATCTGTGCCTTCCTTGGTAACTACACAATTCTTTAAAAAAAAAAACAAACCCAGAATGATGCAAACTGTAGCCACCCATGGGAAACGAGGATTTATTTCATGAACATGTTTCAAAGTGATCTGAGGAATCCTGATCTGACAGTTTTCATATCTAGGTGTGTACACGRAGAACCAGTTTTTAGCCCTCGCCTTCTTGCATTTTTAATGAGAGCAGTAATTCATTATTGATGSAGTTTTCAGCTGACAGGTGGGAAGGGGGAAACGTGCAGCTCTGTGTACCTGAGCAAAGCTGCTGCAACCCAAGAGGAGGGAGCAAAATCCTCTGGTGACATTTGTAGGTGGGTGAGGTCCTTTGGGGAGTGTTTTGGGTGATTTTCTGCGTGCTCACAATGCCAATGTCTAGACTGGAGATCTGAAACCATCCCTTATCTGCAAATATCCAGACAAAGCTTTTGAGCATCAGGGAATCCTCAGCATTTTGCCTTTGGTTCTGGTGTGACAGGAGTTAATGATCATGTGTGGTCTGGGTGTCATCAACTCAAAAATGTGTCTGGTGGAAGATGAAAGCTGTGGGATCTGAAAACACTCAGCTCGATGTGTTTAGTTCATAAGTACCAACCCAGTGCAGATTTTCCTGCTCCAGCAGGCAACGTTTGGTGGTTGAAACCCAAAATAGTCCATGTCCAAGGTATGGATTATGTGTAAAAGCTGAGTGGTGATCTTGGGAAGCAGCAGGACACGATTTAGGGGAATTGTGTTGTGTGTGAGAGCTCAGAGCCAGGAATTGCAGTGATCCCCAGGCTGAACCCTCAGAATTTTGGCAGACTCCATCCATTCTTTCAGCCTCCAGCGTGACTGTGGTAGTTACTGCTTGTATGGAAAAGGAATATTTTTGGGGAATATGATCTTTTTGGTACTTCAGAAGTGAGGCAGATATTCTGGGAACGGCACAGTTGAGTTTATCCAAACAGCTGAGCTCCTTGTGGATAAAAGGATGGATAGTGGAGCATCCCTGGTTTCACTGAGGAGGGTGTGTGTCCTCCTGGGAACATCCCTGTTCCAYATCATTGGTGTAACAGGACCAGAGAAATCCTAATCCTTTATCCCACTGCAATCCCTCCTGCTGCTCCTGGATGTTAAAGAACACCAAGGATTTTGCTGTGGTCTAAAATCACCTTGGTGCTTTCAGAAGTGGTGAATGTTTCCTCTGTGGTTTGCAGATTTTTGGGTCCTTTGTAGAATTGTTCACGTTCTCTTTGACCTCAGGTTGTGTAATCTTTTTGTCAGTRGCCTGTATTTGACACCCATCTCATGTCTTAGCACTGCAGAGCTTTGAAAGGCCAATCATTGGTTTGGTTTGGTTTTG